ACACTTCTTTATAGACATCATCTTCTTCTCCTCTTCCTTCATCGTTGCTTCTTTTTCCACTTTGCATTCTTCCACTGAACACTTAACCTCCATTTTTTATCATTTTTACAATTATTTTTTTAGTTGTCATGCTCATAATATTTTATTTTCGGCATTTTCTTCTATCCGTTCTTTCGTCTTGTCTACATCGTCTCCTGCTTTAACTTCTGCTTCGTTCTACACTTCTTAATAGACATCATCTTCTTCTCGTCTTCCTTCATCTTTGCCTCCTCTTTAAATTCCTTTTTATTTCTCTACCCACTTTAATTGCCGTTATTCTGCTTATTTATTGGTCATTTTCTTCTTATTCAGCTTCTTCTATCTCTTCCTCCAATTCTTCCTTTTATTCTTTTATCCTTCAACTTCTCCTTCTTGTACTACTTTATACTACTTACCTTATTTCATCCGCTTTTTTTCCTCAATTTTTCTTTATCTTCTTGTTTTTTTGGTTTTTCTTCCTCTTCTCGTCCATTTATTGTCTTTATCTTGTCAATCATGTTCTTCACCTCCTCTTTGCTCTTCTAGCTCTTCATGCATTTCATGCTTCCTCCTTCGTTTTATCTTTCCCGCTGCTCTTTCTCTTCATTCTCTTTTTTTGTCATTTCCTTTTCTTTCTGCTCTTCACGTTCTTCTCGTTCCTCCCATTCTTCCCCTATTTTGTGCCCATCTTGCTCAGCCCATTCTCCTTGCTTTACTGTTGCCTTGTCTCCTGCCAGTCTCCTCAAGCCAGAACAGGCCATCCGGTCTTCCGGTTGCCACGACAGCCGGAACTGGCTAGACCCTGTATCCGGTGCGACGGAGTACAGTTGGCAGGAGAGAGACGAAAGTCGTGTGTGTTTGAGGGTGGGGCGAGCAAGTCACACCAGCCGGTGTCTGAACTGCATGTGTTTCGGATTCACCACTTTGGTGGGGCGAGGTTTCCCTGCCTCTGCTTGCCCAACATGTGCCCCTCGTCTCGGCCCCGCCGAGCCACCACTGACCGTTGGTTGTCACCATCAATCCGGTCCCTTTTTCCCTTTTTCTCTTTTTCCCTTTTTCAGTACGTCCGACTGTCCGACGAAGACAAATTGGAGGATATAATGACGCTGATGAAGGACCATTGGCGCATGATGGAACCGCTGCCACCGGGCCTCTGCATTTCCGTGATTGGCGGTGCCAAGAACTTTCAGCTGACCGGACGTAGTAAAGAGACTTTCAATCATGCAAGTTCACCTTTTCTCAAAATGCTCATGTCAACTGGTCAATTTGCATAGGAGATCACCTTTTATTAATTGGTGTCTTTTTTTCTTTAATTGATATTAATGCTACTCACGGCGAGCATAAGTAGTATGGGCTTTTCCAACAAAATGTATTAATGGGAGCAGGAGACTTGCTGACAAAATAACGCGAAGCGGCATATGTCACCGCGATTGCTCAGCATTAGGGTCCACTTCTGGTTGGTGATCTCCTTTGTTATTGCGTCATGGCACAGTGAAAATGTATGTGAGATTATCGCATCGCTTATGAGCCAACATCATCAAGACCACCATCAGCATCAGCATTAGAGCGCTTTGAAGCCTTTCTGAGCATGCCACATTAGGTCTTTATGCGTATCGGTTGAATAAATCCACGCTCACGAATGCTCTGAGCTCTTCTTTTCTTCGTTCCTCATTTTGTTCTTGTCCTTATTTGTCTTCTTCTTCTTCGTATCTTCTTCCACGGTTGAATAGTCTCTTTTTTCTTCTCTGCTTCGTAGTCTTCTTTTATATCTTCTCGATTTTGTCTCAGAGAACACGGTAATGGTGAGATCATTTTTGCATATATTGGCCATTATTATCATTACCAGCATGGCGATTTGAAGTCGTTGCGATGCAAGTCAAATTGGGGCTTTATCCATCACGATTGAATAAATCCAAATTTATGAGTTTCATAGGCTGCATTGTCAATTAGACGTGACTTTGACCGATTTCTATTCAAAATCATCTGCTTCTTCTTTCTTTGCTTTAGCTTTTTCTTCATTTTCATTGTCATCATCCCATTCATCCACTTCTTCTTCTTCTTTCGCATTTTTGGCCTTTGCTTGATTTTTCTCGGCATTTTTCATTATCTCCTTTTGCATCAACGTCATCACCTTTTTAATCGTATTCCATTTCTTCTGGGTCTTGGCACAATGAACATGGTATCAGTGGCCGAAACTCAGTTTCGGTTGAACGCTTCCATATTGAAAAGCACACTGGACTGCATGGCCGGAGAGATCTACGTGTGGCTTCTAACTTAAGGCGTCGAACTGCATTGCAGAGGCGCCCAATTCCGGAGTATGGCTGAGACGAATAGAAGTGGATAGTATGAAATGGGTGATGAGTAGTCTGATTAGTTACTTAGCAGCAGTTATTGGATAGTGCGAATTGGAAAGTAGTTAGTGGAAAGATTGACTTGGTTAGTGGGTAGTGGGTAATGTGAAATTGGTATTGTATATAGTGGTAAGTTCGATTTGAGTAGTGGGAAGTGCGAATTGGAAATGGGTTAGAGGAAAGTGTGACCTG